GCATCAAGTGTCGGCTGTTCCTTTGCAAGCAGGCCACTTGTGCGTCTTTGCTGCGGCTGGCAGCAGCAGCAAAGCAGTGAAGTAATAGCAGCAAAACAAAACGATTAAGCAGCAGCAAAGAAGCAGCAGCAAGAGTTTGCTGCTGCTGCTGCGGGTGCTGCGAGCGCAGGGACTTCCTGGCCTGCTGCCTGCAGCGCAGCAGCAGCAAACGGCCAACAGCAGAAGTGCTGCTGCAGCACCCCTTCATAGAAATCCATAATGCTGCTGTCAAGTCTTGTTTGCTGTTTTTGGAGCAGCCGAGACACCAGAAGGGCCACAAGGGTTTCAACCAGCCAGAAATGCCCTGGCAAACCCCCAGGCATTTGCCCTGAACTGCAGCAGCAGCAGCAGCAGCAGCAGCAGCAGCAGCAGCAGCAGCAGCGGCGGCGGCGGCGCTGCTGCAGCCCGTGCAGCGGCGGCGCCGCTGCTCCTGCTGCTGCGCCGCCTGCTGCAGCAGCTGCAGCAGCACGCGCCTCCGCAGGTGCTGCAGCAGGTGCAGCAATGGCAACTGTAGCAGGTGCAGCAGCAGCAGCAGCAGCAGCAGCAGCAGCAGCAACAGCTGCAGCAGGCGCCGCAGCAGCTGCTTGAGCAGGTGCAGCAGCTGCAGCGGAAACTCGGGTAAGGTTGCGGCTGCTGCAGCAGGCTGCTAACAGCGCAGGCAAGGCAGCGGGAGCAGCAGCAGCTGCTGCAGCACTTTGCTGCTGCTGCTGCAGAAGTGCCGCTGCTGCTGCTCGACGGCCTTCTTTGACTTATTGGTTTTATAGAGTGCTCGTTTGCCGCAGCAGCTGCTGCAGCAGCTGCTGCAGCAGCTGCTGCAGCAGCTGCTGCACTGCCTCCACTTTGTGTAGCTTGCTCAGTCGCTAGCTAGCTAGCTAACTAGAAAGGCAGCTGGCTAGCTAGCTAGCTAGCTAGCTAGCTAGCTAGCTAGCTAACTAGAAGAGTAGCTAGCTAGCTAGCTAGCTAACTAGAAAAGTAGCTAGCTAGCTAGCTAGCTAGCTAGCTAGCTAGCTAGCTGGCTATCTTTGTCTCTGGCTAGTTGGATGAGTGAGCGGTCTCTGCGGAAGACGGTAGCGGAGAGTTACTTTGCTGCTGCTGCTGCTGCTGCTGCTGCTGCTGCTGCTGGCGCAAGCGAAGTGGCCCTCGCTAGCCAAAGGATTGATGAGTGCAGCAACAAGAATTGCAGAGTATGTCGAAACGAGGCAGCAGCAAATGCATTTGCTGCTGCTGCTGCTGCTGCTGCTGCTGCAGCTTTGAGTCGAGCGTTGCTGCAGCAACAGGTTGCTGCAGCAGGAGCAGCAATTGCTGCAGCAGCAGCTAGCTGCAGACGCAGCGTGCCCAAGCGTCAAGGCCGAGAGCAGCAGCAGCTGCTGCTGCTCAAACGCTGCTGCTGCTTTGCTGCTGCTCCCAAGAGCAGCAGCAGCAGGTGCTGCTGCTCAAACGCTGCTGCTGCTTTGCTGCTGCTCCCATGAGCAGCCGCAGCAGCAGGGGGCGCTGCTCAGTTGCTGCTCTTGCTGCTGCTGCTCTTGCTGCTGCTCCTGGCCGCTGCTGCTGCTGCGCTGCTGCGCAGCAGCGGGTTGGGCGGCAGCGCGTAGAAGTAGCTGCGGTGTACAGGCAGCTGCCAGTTCGTTGCAACAGCAAACTTCAACCTTTTTGCTGCTCCATTTACTTTTCCTTCAAACCCAATAAGCCCAAAATAAACCAGAAACAACACCAACATGAACAGCGACTGCCCGGCCTGCAGCAGCAGCAGCAGCAGCAGCAGCAGCAGCAGCGGTGCGCGTGGGCGCAGCAGCGGGTGCAGCAGCACGCGCGTGTCGGCAGCCGCAACAGCAGCAGACGCAGCAGCGCCAACGCAGGCAGCAGCAGCAGCAAGCAGCGTAAACCGACACCCACAGCAGCAACAGCAGCAGCAGCAGCAAGCAGCGCCAGAACCGACACCCACAGCAGCAGCTTCAGCAGCAGCAGCAGCAGCAGCAGCAAACAGCGCCAGCATCAACACCCACAGCAGCAGCTTCAGCAGCAGCAGCAACAGCAGGCAGCGCCAGAACCAACACCCCGAGCAGCAGCTTCAGCAGCAGCAACAGCAACAGCAGCAGCAGCAACAGCAGCAGCAGCAGCAGCAGCAGCAGCAGCAGCACCTCATTTTCGAGAATTTTTTCAGTGAGGGAGCCGATGGCGTTTCCAGAAAGGAAAAGAAAAGTTTCTGCTTTTGGGTCATTTGTGTTGAAGTCAGTGAAGGCTATTGGGGAGGCCAGCAGGCACAGCGGCAGCAGCCTGCTGCTGCTGCTGCTGCTGCTGCTGCTGCTGCTGCTGCTGCTGCTGCTGCTGCTGGGGCTGCTGCTGCTGGGCGCGGAGCCGCGGCTGCTGCTGCTCGGCTCGCGGAAACTGCGGGTAAAACGGCTGAGCCGCTGCTGCAGCTGCTGCTGGAACAGCTGCTGCCGCTGCTGCTGCAGCTGCTGCTGCAGCTGCTGCTGCAGCTGCTGCTGCAGCAGCTGCTGCTGCTGCAGGGGAGACACAAGCACTCGGCTGCGCAGCAGAGCAGCAGCGCGAGACAGGAAAGAGGTCGTCATCCTCTGCTGCTGCTGCTGCTGCTGCGGTAGAAAATTACAGCGGGAGGAGCTGCTGCTGGCTGCTGCTGCTGCTGCTGCTGCTGGCGTGTGCAGAGGCGTCAGCAGCAGCAACGCCCAAACCCTAAACCCTAAACCCTAAACCCTAAATACGCAAGAAGACACGGGCGCGGCTAAGTCTCCCAAGCAGGACAAACTAAACTTTAGCTGCTGCTGCATGCGGCCGGGCGCTGCTGCTGCAGCGACGGGGCTGGGAGCAGCAGCAGCTGCTGCTGCTGGCGGCTGCTGCAGCAGCAGCAGCAGCAAACGGGGTTGGGCCGTTGCAGGCGCCCGGCTTAAGTGTTTTTGTTGGAGGAACACTAAGTTGGAGGTTTGCGGTGAACGTACACCCGAAAGAAAAGGTTTCGCAGCAGCAGCAGCAGCAGCAGCAGCAGCAGGCGCCCCGCACGCCGCCCCACGAGGTTTCCAGCTAGAGCTGCTGCTCCCTCAGGTGTCTATACACCCCACGAGTAGCGCCTTTTGCATCACTGCAGGTGAGGCTTTGCTGCTGGGGAGCTGCAGCGGGGCTGTGTGTCGAGTTGCTGCTGCTGCTGCAGCAGCAGCAGCAGCAGCAGCAGCCGCTGCTGCTGCTGCCGCTGGCGCCGCCCTGAGTTACAGCTGCAGCGTGTCCTTTTTGTGGGAAAAAGCTGCTGCTGCAACCGGGTGCAGCCACAGCAGCAGCAGCAGCAGCTGCTGCTGCTGCTGCGGCGGCTGTGGGGCCCCCGGGCGGCTTGAGGGTTTGGGCCAGACTCCGATTTAGGGTTTAGGGTTTAGGGTTTAGGACACGTGTAAAAGCAGCAGCTGCCATTAAGTCTTAATGGGCCTCTCACTTCTCCCGGGGCGGCTGTTGTTGCCTAGGAACAGCAGCAGCAGCAGCAGCAACAGCAGCAACAGCAGCAGCAGCAGCAGCAGCAGCAGCAGTTTCGTGTCTGCGTGGACTTGGGTTTGGGGTGTACGTACAGCCCAAGTTGCGGCTTGCTTCTGGGGTGTATGTACACCTCGGGAGTGTATGGAGTTCTTTTCTCTGGTTCCATCTTTTGGTTCTTTTGCATCTAAATGTTTATTTATTATTTATTTATTTTATTTATTTATTTATTTATTTATTTTATTTTATTTATTTATTTATTTATTTATTTCTGTTTTCTCTCTTTAAATTCAACCAGCTGCAGATCGCTTGCAAGTCTGTTCTCGCCGACACAAGCCCAGGGCTCAGGACTTAGGGTTTAGGGTTTAGGGTTTAGGGTTTAGGGTTTAGGGTTTAGGGTTTAGGGTTTTGCTGCAGCAAAATGAGCGACCACGAGCTCAGCGAGGGCGAGCGCGAGGGGCCGCAAGAGCTCAGCAGCCCCCAGGCGGTGGAGAAGCTGAAGGCAGCAGCAGAAATTGCAAATGCTGCTTTGAGACAGGTTCGCGCTGCTGCTGCTGCTGCTGCTGCTGCTGCTGCTGCTGCTGCTGCTGCTGCTGCTGCTGCTGCTGCTGCTGATGATTATGCTGCTGCTGCTGCTGCTGCTGGTGTGGGTGCTGGTCTGCGCGTCTTGCTGCTGCTGCTGCGCGTGCTTTTCCGGCTCTTCCTGCTGCTGCTGCTGCTGCGCATGTTGTTCGCGTTGTTCTTGCTGCTGCTGCTGCTGAGTCGTCCCAGTGCGCCCCACGGGCCTGGGGTTTAGGGTTTAGGGTTTAGGGTTTAGGGTTTAGGGTTTGGGGCGCAGGTGTTGGCGCGAGTGGTGCCTGGGGAAGACGTTTTTGAGTTGTGTTTATTTGGAGATTTATTTGTTGCAAAAGAAGCAGCAAAAGTTTACCAAAGAAAGGCCAAGGCCAAGAAGATCGAAAAAGGTTTGCTGCTGCTCTTTTTATTATCAACTAATTAATTAATTAATTAATTAATTAATTAATCAATTAATTAATTAATTAATTAATTAATTAATATTTATTTATTTGTTTATTGTTTCATCCGTTTCGGTATTTGTTTAATCCGCGTTTTGTCCTGGCTTTCACCCTTCCTCCGCTGCTGCTGCTGCTGCTGCTGCTGCTGCTGCTGCTGCTGCTGCTGCTGCAGGGATAGCGGTGCCGACGTGCGTGTCAGTGAACGAAGTGTTTGCGAACTTCTCTCCTTGCGAAAGAGCTGCTTCTTTGCTGCTGCGGGAGGGGGATTTGGTGAAGGTGCATTTGGGGGCGCACATAGATGGTTTTGTTGCTGCTGCTGCTTACACCGTCATTTGCTGCAGCAGCAACGCAGCAGCTTTCAGCAGCGGGGCTTCTCCCGCAGCAGCAGCAGCAGCAGCAGAAGCAGCAGCGGCGGTCCGCGAGACCCTCGCGGCGCTGCCGCCCGCCCCCGAGGAGTACCGCCAGCAGCAGCAGCAGCTCCGCGAAGCAGCAGCAGCAGCAGCAGCAGCAGCAGCAGCAGCAGCAGCAGGACCTGCTGCTGCTGTCCTCAAGGCCTGCTGGCTGGCAGCAGAAGCTGCGCTGCGCAAAGTCGACGTGGGCGCGAAGGCCAGCGAAGTCACGAAGGCCATCGAGGCCGTCGCAGAAGACATGGGAGTCAAACCCATGCACGTCAGTCCTGCTGCTGCTGCTGCTGCTGCTGCTGCTGCTGCTGCTGCTGCTGCTGCTGCTGCTGCTGCGGATGCAGCGGATGCAGTGCTGCGGCTGCAGTGCTGCTGCTGCGGATGCAGTGCTGTTGTTGATGCAGTGCTGCTGCTGCGGATGCAGTGCTGCTGCTGCTGCTGCTGCGGATGAAATGGTGCTGCTGCTGCTGCTGTTGCTGCTGCTGCAGCGGTGGTGCAGTGCTGCTGCAGTGGGACAGTGCTGCTGATGCTGCAAGGGTGCTGATGCAATGCTGCTGCGGATGCAGCCCTGCTGCTGCAGTGCTGCTGCTGATGCAGTGCTGCAGCTGCTGCAACGCTGCTGCAACTGCTGCAGGGCCGCTGCTGCAGTGCTGCTGCTGGAATGCTGCTGCTGCAATGGTGCTGCTGCTGCTGCAGTGCTGCTGCGGTGCTGGTGGTTGTGTTTGTCTTCTTTTTTGCTGCTTTTTGTCTTCTTTGGAAGGCAATTGCTGCTGCTGCTGCTGCTGCTGCTGCTGCTGCTGCAGGGAGTTCTGTGCTACCAAATGAAGCAGCACGTAATCGAAGGCAGCCGGACCTTCCCAATTGTCTCCGGTTCAGCAGAAGACAAGGTGCATGCAATTTCTTTTTATTTTTTATTTTTTATTTTTATTTATTCTTTTAATTGTTTTATTCTTTTAATTGTTTTATTCTTTTAATTGCTTTATTCTTTTAATTGTTTTATTCTTTTAATTGTTTTATTCTTTTAATTATTTCATTCTTTTGTTGCTGCTGCTGTGCACTTTTATTTGTCGTCTGTTTATCTCCCAGCTGCTCATCTTTACTATTTGCTGCTGCTGCACTTACTGCTGCGGCATTTGCTGCTGCTGCATATGCTGCTGCTGCATTTGCTGCTGCTGCATTTGCTGCTGCTGCACTTGCTACTGCTGCACTTGCTGCTGCTGCACTTGCTGCTGCTGCACTTGCTGCTGCTGCACTTGCTGCTGCTGCACTTGCTGCTGCTGCTGCTGCAGCAAGAAGACTTTACCTTCGAGGCGAATGAGCTGTACTCTCTGGACGTGGTGCTGTCAGCAGGTGAGAAGATTTATTTATTTATTTATTTATTTTATTAATTAAATTAATTTAAATTATATTTTGGAATTAATTCAAATCCAATTCACATTTTGAAATTAATTCAAATCCAATTCATGAATTCAGCCCCTCCAATTGCCCAGTCCGACAACCCCACCGCTGCTGCTGCTGCTGCTGCTGCTGCTGCTGCTGCTGCTGCTGCGCGTCTCAACCCGCAACTCTTTCGGCGCTCCCCCCTACCCCGCAAGAACTTCTTCATTCAATTATTATTTATTATTTATTTAATTTTGTTTTATTTATTTATTTATTTATTTATTTATTTATTTATTTATTTATTTATTTATTTATTTATTTATTTATTAGGAGAAGGAAGAGCGCGGGAGTCTGCAGTGCGGCCTTCGGTCTTCAAGCGGGCGGTGGAAAGGAAGTACATTTTGAAGAGCCAGTTGGGCCGGGCCTTCATGAACCAAGTGGAGAACAGATAAATAATAAATAAATAAATAAATAAATAAATAAATAAATAAATAAATAAAAATAAATAAATAAATAAATAAATAGTTTTAACTCTTCAGTTCGTTCTTTGGTGAAAAGCGCAAGTTCCAGTTCTTCAGCAGCTCGTCCCAGGAGCTGATCTGCCCGCAGCAGCAAACGGCGTTGCTGCTGCTGCTGCTGCTGCTGCTGCTGCTGCTGCTGCTGCTGCGGTTGAAGATGCTGCTGGTGCTGCTGTTGCAGAGCCTCCTGCTGTTGCCGTTGTAGATGCTGCTGCTGTTTTCTTCGGTGCTGCTGCTGCTGCTGCGATGAGTGGCGCAGCTTTGCTGCTGCTGCTGCGATGAGTGGCGCAGCTTTGCTGCTGCTGCTGCTGCTGCTGCTGCTGCTGCCGTTCTTTCGCTGCTGCGAACGCAGCATTTACGACTCTTGAGTAAACAACCGCAGATGCATTAAAATTAATTATTTATTTTTGAATATTTATTTTATTTATTTCTTTTTTTCTTTTATTTGCTGCAGACTTCCCAACTCTCCCCTTCTCCCTGCGGCAGCTATCTGACGAAAGAGCCTCCAAGGTCGGAGTCGCCGAGGCCATGCGCCACGAGCTCATCACCCCCTACGTCCCCACAGAAGGTGTCTTGCTGCTGCTGCTGCTGCTGTTGCTGCTGCTGCTGCTGTTGCTGCTGCTGCTGCTGTTGCTATTGGTGCTGCTGCGGTTGGTGCTGCTGCTGTTGGCGGTGCTGCTGCTGTTGGTGCTGCTGCGGTTGGTGCTGCTGCGGCTGGTGCTGCTGCGGTTGGTGTTGCTGCTGTCGGTGCTGCTGCTAGTGCTGCTGCAGCTGTCGTTGCTGCATCTGCTGCTGCTGTTGATGGTGGTGTTGCTGCTGCTGTTTTTGGTGCTGCTGCTGCCGCTGTTATTGCTGCTGCTGCTGCCGCCGCTACTGTTGGTTTTATTGCTGCTGCTGTTGAAATGGTGTCATTGCTGATGTCTTGCTGCTGCGCTGCTGTTGCTGCTGCTGCTGCTTCTGTCGGTGATGCACTGCTGCTGCTTTCGTGTATGCTACTGCTGCTGCTCTTGGTGCTGCTCTGTGTGTTGCTGCTAATGCTGTTACTGCTGCTGCTGCTGCTGCTGCTGCTGCTGCTGCAGACCGAGGCGGCGCTTTAACAGCACAATTCAAATGCACAGTGCACCTGACGCCTTCTGGAGTCAAAAAGGCGAGCGAGGGTTTAGGGTTTAGGGTTTAGGGTTTAGGGTTTAGGGTTTAGGGTTTAGGTTGTGGGGCCTCGGGGTGGAGGCGGCGTTGTGGGCGCAGCTTCAAATTGGGAATTCTCAAGGCTTAGGGTTTAAACAGTAGAGCTTAGGGCTTAGAGTTCGGGGTTTAGGGTTTAGGGTTTAGGGTTTAGGGTTTAGGGTTTAGGGTTTAGGGTTTAGGGTTTGCTGCGCAGGTCACGGGGCTGCCTTTCGTGCAAGAGCGTTTGCTGAAGGCCCCGGATTTGAAGCGGGAAGACCTGAAGGCTCTTTTGGCGGTTTCGCTAAACCCTAAAAAGAATAAAAAGAAGCAAAAGAGTGCAGCAGCAGAGGCCAGCAGCTAGAGCAGCAGCAGCAGCAGCAGCAGCAGCAGCAGCAGCAGCAGCAACACAGGCAGCAAACAGTCGACACAATAGGGGCTTCGGTCCCACGCAGAGCAGGCTCAGAGAGACGCAGGCAGGGGAGAGGCAGCAGCAGCAGCGCCTGCCGTCTTGCTGCTGCTGCTGCTGCTGCTGCTGCTGCTGCTGCTGCTCGACAGCAGCAGCAGCAGCAGCAGCAGTGGCGAGGGGCCCACCCTGCTGCTGTTAGTGACTCGCATGCAGTAGCGCCGCAGCTTTAGCAGAGGGAAGCGTTTCGCTCATTTGCTGCTCCTGCTGCTGCTGCCTAGCCTGCTGCTGGAAAGCAGCACAACCAGCAGCAGCAGCAGCAGCAGCTACCTGCTGCAGCAGATGGCTGCTGCTGCTGCGGCGGCGCTTTATGCTGCTTCCGGATAACTCGTTTGGTCACTAAGACATGCAACGTGCTGCAGTGTACTGGAGGCGGGATATGCAGCAGCAGCAGCTGCGGGGGGGCGGGATGTCTGCTGCTGCAGCAGGAAACCGCGCCACTTGCTGCTGCTGTGGCTGTTCCGCGCAGCAGCAGCAGTGAGGCCTGATACTCCCGCTCTTGAGCAGCTAGGGTTTAGGGTTTGTAGCAGGGTTTAGGGTTTAGGGTTTGTAGCAGGGTTTAGGGTTTAGAGGGCCTCTGAGCCTCAAATTTGAAAAAGAAGTGAAATGAGCAGCAGCAAAAGCGGCGAGGTCACTGCAGCGCTGCAGCGAGCTTGGGGTGTCTAGACACCGCGGGCCCAGCAGTTGGAAACCTCCTCAAAAATCAAATTTTCATTTATTTCATTTTTATTTAAATTAATAAATTAAAAATAAAAAGTCCAGGGCTGACAAAACGCGTGTGTGGGGCCCCCGGGGGCCCCATGAGGCTCTTGGGGGCCCCCAGGTAGCTCAGGGGGCCCCCAGGGGCCCCTGGGGGCCCTTGTGTTCCCTTCACAAACCCTAAACCCTAAACCCTAAACCCTAATTTGGTGGAGGGCTTTTTATTTGGGTCCATATGGTGATTGTTGTTTGGCTGGCGTTAAGCAGCGGGCCCTAAACCCTAAACCCTAAACCCTAAACCCTCATATCTAAACCGTAAACACTCAGTCCTGACCTCCGCCTGACGCTGCTGCTAAGCCTCCGCGTAAACCCTCATGAGACCTGGGATTGTAAACTCTTCCAGCCCATGGCAGCAGCAGCAGCAGCAGCAGCAGCAGCAGCAGCAGCAGCAGCAGCAGCAGGAGGCCCCAGGCTCCCCTTGGGGGGGCCGCTCGCTCTCCACCGCTGGGGGGCCCCCACTCTGTGGAAGGGTCCCGCGGCGCAGCAGCAGTTGCTGCTGCTGCGCTGCTGCTGCAGCAGAGATGGTGGTGTTGCTGCAGCAGCAACGCAGCAGCAGCAACCGCTGTTGCGCTGCTGCAGCAGCAGCACCACTGTCTCTCCTGTAAGGAAACAGTTGCAGCAGCAGCTGCTGCAGCAGCAGCTGCTGCAGCAGCAGCAGCAGCAGCAGCTGTATCAAACCCGCTGCTGGAGCAGTGCCTCCCACAATGAGTCTCGAGATCATGTGCGCGCAGCAGCTGCTGCTGGGAGTAGCAGCAGCAGCAGCAGCAGCAGCAGCAACAGCAACAGCAGCAGCAGCAACAACAACAACAAAAATAGCAGGGGCCGCACCAGGCGCCGGCCACAACGCGTCGCTTCCAGCTCCCCCAGCAGCAGCAGCAGCAGCAGCAGCAGCAGCAGCAGCAGCAGCAGCAGCAGCAGCAGCAGCATAAGTGCAGCAGCAAGGCGGTCTTTTGTGCAGTTCGGCGTTGCTGCTCCTTTGCTGCAGGCAATAGCGCGTTTGGGTTTGCTGCAGCCAACAGCAATTCAAGAAAAGGCAATTCCCGTAATAAAGAAAGTGAGTTTTTTAATTCTTTTATCTCCTGCTGCTTCTTTTATTCATTTCTGCTGCTGCTGCTGCTGCTGCTGCTGCTGCTGCTGCTGCTGCTGCTCAGGGCCACAGTGTTCTGCTGCTGGCGCCCGCTGGCAGCGGCAAGACCCTCAGCTACGCACTTCCTTTGCTCTCCCGCCTCCACCCATCAGCAGCAGCAGCAGCAGCAGCTGCTGCTGCTGCTGCAGCAGCCCCAGCAGCAGCAGCAGCAGCAGCAGCAGCAGCAGGAGGCCGCCCCGCGCAGCCGCACTGCCCGCGGCTGCTGATTCTGGTGCCCACGCGGGAGTTGGCCCGCCAGGTGTACAGCAGCACGCTGCAGCCGCTTGCTGCTGCTGCTGCTGCTGCAGTGACCGACATCAGCAGCAGCAGCAGCAGCAGCAGCAGCAGCAGCAGCCGCGCAGCGCGCTACGGATGGCCCCTCTCTGCATGCGTCTTGGCGGGGGGCGGCAGCTATGCTGCTGAAGCTGCTGCGCTGCAGCAGGGAGTGGACGCAGCTGTCTGTACACCTGCGCGGCTGCTGCTGCACCTCAAGAAAAGAAATTTGCTGCTGCAGCAGCTGCAGCAGCTCGTCGTGGAGGAAGCAGACGCCCTTTGCGACTCCTTCTACGCCAAGGAGCTCCACTTCATCCTGAGTCTCGTCAAGCAGCAGCGCGGATTCAGCAGCAGCAGCAGCAGCAGCAGCAGCAGCAGCAGCAGCAAGAAGGGGGTGCAGCTGGTGTTTGTAGGAGCAGCAAACTCGGGGGCCCTTGTCTCTTTCCTTCGCTCTTTCAGGCCGGACGGCTCGGAGACAGAATTCCTGCTGCGGGGAACAAACAGCAGCAGCAGCAGCAGCAGCAGCAGCAGCGACAGCAGCAGCAGCAGCAGCAGCAGCAGCTCGAGTCTGTACGACGAGCTAACTCTTGTGTCTAGCGGGGGCCTCCATTTGCTGCCCCCGCGCTGCCAGCAGCAATTTGTGGCCATCGACTCCACCGGCGGTTTGCTGCAGCTGCTGGAGGCTGTGGGGCCCCCGTCGCAGCAGGAGAAGCAGCAGCAGCAGCAGCAGCAGCAGCAGCAGCAGCAGCAGTGTCAGACTGTGGTCTTCTGCAACACGCTCTCCGCCTGCAGGTATGCCGTTTCTGCTGCTGCTGTTGAATCTGCTGCTGCTGCTGCTGCTGCTGCTGCTGCTGCTGCTGCTGGTTTGCCGCTATCAACTCACTACCATCAAGAGGCAGAGGGCTCGTGCTGCTGCTGCTGCTGCTGCTGTTGCTGCTGCTGCTGCTGCTGCTGCTGACGAATGAGCATGCGCGCACTTCGACTTTCCGCCGCGCGCAGCCGACTAGTTGTCAATTAATTCAAACTGCATTTATTTATTTATTTATTTATTTATTTATTTATTTATTTATTTATTTATTTATTTATTTATTTATTTATTTATTTATTATTTATTTATTTATTTATTTGTTTATTTATATTTAGGGCTGCGGACTTTTACTTGAGAGAAAGAGGAGTGGCTTGTTCGGCGTGCCACGGGGAGCTGCCATTTGCTGTGCGGGAGAAGGAGTGCGGAGTTTGTTTGAATTGGAATTAATTATTTATTTTTAATTTAATTATTTATTTAAATTTTATTTTTTAATTCAATAAAAGCATTTCAAACACTTTTCAACGAAATGGCCACGCGCAGCGCGTCAAGTCGAGGGCTCTGGCTCTTCTTGGGACACCCTGCTGCTGCTGCTGCTGCTGCACTTGCTGCTGCAGCAGCAGCAGCAGCTGCTGCTGCTGCTTGCTGTTCGTCTGCTGCTCTTGCTGCTGTGGGAGCTGCTGCTGCTGTCCTCTGGGGCTAACATGCACATGGTGGAAGATCTTGGGTAACGCGTCAAGGCCAAAGGCATAAAATTAGGGTTTAGGGTTTAGGGTTTAGGGTTTAGGGTTTAGGGTTTAGGGTTTGTGCGCAGATTCAAGCGCTTCGTGCAAGGCAAGAGTCGTGTGCTCATTACCACTGACGTCTGCGCCAGAGGCCTTGACTTGCCAAACGTCAAACATGTAGGCTGCTGCTGCTGCTGTTGTTGTTGCTGCTGCAGCTGCTGCTGTTGCTGCTGCTGCTGTTGCTGCTGCTGCTGCTGCTGATGCTGCAGCTTCACCTGCCGCTGCTGCTACTTCTGCAACCACTCCTGCTGCATTCGTTGCAACAACAGGAGCAGCGGCTCCTCCCCCAGCCAACTAAAGCCGCTCCTGCTGCTGCTGCTGCTGCTGCTGCTGCTGCTGCTGCTGCTGCTGCTGCTGCAGGTGGTGATGTTTGGGATGCCGCAGCACTTCGTGGACTACCTCCACAGAGTGGGGCGCCTCAGCAGAGGAGCAGCAGCAGGAAAAGTGACAGCGCTGCACAGGCGGCGGGACCGGCCGCTGCTGCAGCAGATAATGGCAGCAACTGCTGCTGCTGCTGCTCCTGCTGCTGCTGCTGCTGCTAGGCCTGCTGAGCAGCGCTTGCAGGAGCTTCAGCTGCAGCAGCAGCTGCTGCAGCACGCGCCGGAGCAGCAGCAGCAGCAGCAGCCGGCGCTTGCTGCAATCACTTTCGTCAACAGCAGAACCAGGCGCATACTTAAGCTGCAGCGGAGATGGCAGCAGCTGCTTGACATGAAGTGAGCAGCTGCAGCAACACAGTAGTTGCTGCTGCTGCTGCTGCTGCTGCTGCTGCTGCTGCTGCTGCTGCTGCTGCTTCTCCATCATATTAGAAGCCTTAGTAGGTGCTCCGTCGTTGAGGGCTTTTTCTCATGCGCCTCTGTATGCACTTCTGCTGCTGTTGATGCTGCTGTCCCTGCACTGCTGCTGCTGCTGTTGCTGCTGCTGCTGCTGCTGTTGCTGCTGCTGCTGCTGCTGCAGGAACAGGAAAAGGAAAATAGGAGGGCGCAAGGCCGCTGGCTTGGCGCCTCGGAGAGGCCTCGCGAGCCCTCGGAACAAACACTACCTAAAGAAGCTGCACTTCAAGTAAGCAGCAGCAGCAGCAACAGCAGCAACAGCAACAGCAACAGCAGCAGCAGCAGCTGCAGCAACAGCAACAGCAACAGCAGCAGCAGCAGCAGCAGCAGCAGCTGTGCTAACGGGAAGGGGGTTCGAATGGGGATTTGGATGGCGACCAGAAGCCCTTGCTTCTGCTGCTGCTCGGAACACCAGTGCTGCTGCTGCTTCTCCCCATTTTGCTGCTGCGCTTTGGGTTATCGCTGCTGCTGCTGCTGCTGCTGCTACTCTTGCTGCTGCTGTTCTTAGAATGAAGGCGGAGAAGAAACTCGCGGAGCTCCAGAAGAGAGGCATCATTCGCAAGTCCCACAAACTCCCCAGGTAAGCACAGGTCGCGCTGCTGCTGCTGCTGATTTTGTTGCTGCTGCTGCTGCTGCTGATTTTGCTGCTGCTGCTGCTGCTGCTGCTTATCAGATCTGTAAGTTCCAGATTTGAGGCCTGTGCTGCCGCAGCTGCTAGCTCCTAGGAATGCAGTTGCAGGTTCTTGATTACTGTCGCTGCTGCTGCTGCCCCTAGCATTGCTGCTGCTCCTAACACTGCTGCTGCTGCTGCTGCTGCTGCTGCTGCTGCTGCTGCTGCTGCTGCTGCTGCAGGCGCCCCGACAGCGTGATAGAGCGCTGCGACGCGCAGCAGATCCCAAAAGTGCAGAGAGGGGCTGACGGCCATATGCAGTTCTTTGGTGTTCGCCGCAGCAGGAGGAAGCAAGAAGAACTTCGAATGCAGCAGGAGGTATTGCTGCTGCTGCTGCTGCTGCTGCTGCTGCTGCTGCTGCTGCTGCTGCAGCTGCCGCTGCAGTCGCCGCTGCTTTCGCTTCTGCTGCTTCGCCTCATGATGCGCATGTGCTGTGTCAGCAGTCCCGCTAGAGAAAGAGACAGCCAAACTTGAATCTGCTGCTGCTGCTTCTGCTGCTGCTGCTGCTGCTGCTGCTGCTGCTGCTGGGGTGTCTGTACACCGCAGGCGGGGCGGTATGAAGACCCTAGCATTACAGTTCCTTTAGAAAAAACTCCGAAGTTTTCGGAGACGAAAAGAGTGGGGGAGAGGAGGCCTTTGTTTTCCTGAGGTGTACGTACACCTGAGCGCTGCTGCTGCTCCTTAGCGTCCTGCTGCTGCTGCTGCTCACTGGCTCCCCTGCTGCTGCTGCTGCCCAGTGGCCCCCCTGCTGCTGCTGCTGCTCTTTGGCTCGCCTGCTGCTGCTGCTGCTGCACTTCTGGATATTTGCAAACCGTCGCCTCCCCCGCGTGCAGCACCAGACGTAGCAGCAGCAGCAGCAGAAGTAGCAGCAGCAGCAGCAGCAGCAACGACAGCTGCGGCGTGGAAAAGAGAGGCTCGCAGCAGCAAAAGCGAGTAGGCGACAGCAGCAGCAGCAGCAAACGGAGACAGAGAAAGACACAAGAGCAGCAGAGGACAGAAGCAACGGCGGCGGCCTTGCTGCTGGCCCTCCAAGCAGCTGCTGCTGCTTTGCTGCAGCAGCAGCCCCTTCTCCTGCAGCAGGGGGAGTGGAGCGCAGCAGCAGTATTCACAGCAGCAGCCAGCAGCAGTGTTCGCAGCAGCAGCCAGCAGCAGTATTCGCAGCAGCCCGCAGCAGCAGCTGCAGCTAGCTAGAATTAGCTGCAGCTAGCTAAAAGTAGCTGCAGCTAGCTAGAAGTAGCCGCAGCTAGCTCTTGTGAGCTACAGCTAGCTGCAGCTAGCTCCGGCTAGCTACAGCTAGCTGCAGCTAGCTCCGGCTAGCTACAGCTAGCTGCAAGTTGCCACAGCCCATCCCATGTGGCCCTGGGTAACTGCAGCTAGCTATGGCTAGCTGCAGCTAGCTACGGCTAGCTGTTGCTAGCTATCGCTAGCTTGCCTTAGCTGGGCCGAGCCACAGCTAGCTGTGCTGGCTAGCTGCAGCTAGCTGCAGCTAGCCAACACTGGCGAGGCTAAGCCAGGCGTGGCGAGCTGTGGGCGTGACTCTGTCTTGGGCAAAATGTGCGCAGCTGCAGCTAGCTGCAGCTAGCTGGCTGCAGCTGCAGCTAGCTGGCTGCAGCTGCAGCTAGCTGCAGCAGGCTGGCTGCAGCTGCAGCTGGCTCTGAGTGACTGCACCCATGTGCGAGTGCCTGGAGCTAGCTGCGAGCTGCTGCAGCTAGCTGTGCGTGGCTGCAGCTAGCTATGCGTGGCTGCAGCTAGCTAAGTGTGGCTGCAGCTAGCCATGAGTAGCTGCAGCTAGTTGGGGTGTTAGGCCTGCTGCAGCTGGCTGCTAGCTAGCTGTGGGCCCCTCCGTAGCTAGCTACAGCTTGCTATAGAAAGAGCTGCGGCTAGCTGTAAAGTGCCGCAGTCAGCTGCTGTAGTTAGCTGCGAGCTGCTGCAGCTAGCCTCGAGCTGCTGCAGCTAACTGCAAACTGCTGCAGCTAGCCTCGAGCTGCTGCAGCTAGCTGCGAGCTGCTGAAGCTAGCTGCGAGCTGCTGCAGCTAACTGCAAGCTGCTGCAGCTAGCCTCGAGCTGCTGAAGCTAGCTGCAAGCTGCTGCAGCTCACTGCTTGCTGCTGCAGCTCACTGCAAGCTGCTGCAGCTAGCTGCGAGCTGCTGCAGCTAGCTAACTGCGAGCGGCTGCAGCTAGCTGCGAGCTGCTGCAGCTAGCTAGCCACTGCGTCTTGGACTTTCTGGCTGTGTGGCTGAGGACTCATGGGGCTGTGTCTGTCTTCTCGTTGGTTTGTCTTCATTTAAAAAGTGGCATTTATGATTTATTTTAATTAAAATAAAAAATAAAACTAATTTAATTTCATTTGCTGCAGCAAAGATAGCTGCAAAGGCAAGAGTTGCTGCTGCTCGCTGCCGTGGGGTTCTCGCGAGCCCCAGCAGCCGCCTCGGCATTCTTTGCTGCTGCTGCATCGAATTTAATTCTTTTAATTCTTTTAAATTGCATGCATTTATATTCAATTTTTAGATACCTTTTGCAATTATAAAGAATACAGGCAGGCGCAGCAGCAGACACAACGAGCAGCAGCAGCAGCGGCTGCTGCAGAAGCCGAAGCAGCAGAGCCAGCAACAGCGGAAGGGAGAAGCACACTGCAGCAGCTGCAGCAGCAGCGGCTGCTGCTGCTTCAGAACCGCAACAGCCGCAACAGTCGCCAGCAGCAGCAGCAGCAGCAGCAGCAGCAGCAGCCATAATGCGGGCACATCATTGGACAGGGGCCACCGCTAGGCGGGGCCTTATGCATAAAGAGGCACTTCTGGCCTAAAAGTTGACATGGCCGCAGCAGCAGCAGCAGCTGTTGCTGCTGCTGCTTCTGCTGCTGCGGTTCGTGAGTCCAGGACCCGCAAGACGCAGCGACAGCAGCAGGGCAGCAGCAGCAGCAGCAAAGAGCAAAAAGCAGCAGCATTGGCGCTGCAGCAGGAGCAGTGAAGCCTCAGCAGCTTATGCAGAGTCTGCTGCTGAATTGGTGTCACAGCAGCAGCAGCAGCAGCAGCAGGGGGTTCCTCTTTGCTGCCACGAACTGCAATGATGCTGCTGCTGCTGCTGCTGCACATTCTGCTGCTGGTACCCCCGCAAGCAGGCGGGGTTACCTTCCCGAGCAGCAGGAGCTGCAGCAGCAGGAGCTGCAGCAGCAGAAGCTGCAGCAGCAGCCTCTATATCAGCAGCAGCAGCAGCAGCAGCAGCAGCGCAGCAGGGTTGCTTGGAGGCCTCAGTTCTCTCAGCAACTATGCTGCAGCAACCAGCAGCAGCAAAAATGTACCCTTGGGGTTTGCCCTCCCCACCGTGCTGAGGACGTGGAACTCAGGCAGTAGCAGCAGCAGCAGCAGCAGCAACAGCAGCAGCAGCAGCAGCAGCAGCAGCAGGTTTCTTTGTCGGCATGGTGGGGGAGTAGATGCCCTTAATGCTGTTAGAGAGAGGGCTGCAGCAGGCCGAGGGCAGCAGCAGCTCCAGAAGCAGCAGGAGCTGCTGCTGCAGCGGCAGCGGCTCTTGCAGCTGCAGCAGCAGCTGCAGCAAAAGCAGCAGCAGCAGCGAAAACGGCGGTCGCGAAGGGAGGAAGGGAGTGGCGCAGCAGCTGCTGCTGCACCCGCTGCTGCGGCGTCCCTTGCTGCCAGTGCTGCTGCTGCTGCTGCAGCAGAAGCAGCAGAACGGGATGCTTTGTTTGCTGCTGCTCTTTACGAGTCTGTAGAGGCAGCAAAGAGCCCACGCGAGCTGCTGCAGCTGCTGCTGCTGTTTGGAGACGTTTCTGCTGCTCCTGCTGCTGCCAG